GACTTCGTCTCAATAAAATTTTATTAATAAAAACATTAAAAAAAATTTTTTTTTCAACGTTTATTTATTTTTGGGACAGAGAGAGACAGAGCATGAACGGGGGAGGGGCAGAGAGAGAGGGAGACACAGAATCGGAAACAGGCTCCAGGCTCTGAGCCATCAGCCCAGAGCCTGACGCGGGGCTCGAACTCACGGACTGCGAGATCGTGACCTGGCTGAAGTCGGACGCTTAACCGACTGCGCCACCCAGGCGCCCCAATAAAAACATTTATAGAAACGGTTGGACCTAGCTCCTATACAGTCTGCAAGCAAACATAGCTGTGTGCCAACAAAACCTTACAAAACCAGGCAGGTTGGATTCGGCCCGTGGGGCATAGTTGCTGATTGCGTTTCTATGGTAGTGGTTCTCAAACCTTTTAATCTCTGGTATCCTTTGCACTCTTAAACGTTACGGAGAACCCCTGATAGGTTTTGTGTATATGGGTTTATGTTTCATTTACCCTATTGAAATTTTAAACAGACACTTAAAAACGATTAAATCACTAAAAATAAAACTAATAAAACCGTAGCATGTTAACATAAATAACACTTCTGTGAAAAGTAACTGTTTTCCAAATCAAGAAATGTTAGTGGGAAGAATGGCATTTCTTTACTTTTTTTTTTTTTTTTTCAAATCTCTTTAATGTCTGGCTCAACAGAAAACAGCTGGATTTTCCTTACTGCTTTTGCATTCATTCTGTTGTGATGTTCCAAGTCATAGGGTCTCTGGGAAACTCCCACTTTATCTTCTGAAAGCATCTTGACCCCCAGGAGTCTGTGGACTACACTTTGAGAATCCTTGTTTTGTAGACATCATGAAGGGAAATTGAATTAGGTATTACCCTAAAAGTACCAGCTGCTTCTACCTTCCATTTCCAAGTCCCTTTGTCCTCTTATTCTGAACTAAAAGTGAAGGTTGCACCGTTCTTCCCTTCCCCCCACTGCAGAAGGCATATTTAGTCACGTGGTAAGAGTTTATGAAAGCAGGTTTGCTTTATTTTCTGAAATGATTGTCACCTTAGCTTAAATTGTCTGCTGCTGCATTGCAATAGAGTGTTACTACTGTAGAGAAACAAAAACCAGGAGAGAGTCTGAATTCATTGGAGTAAAGGGAACAAAAGAAGGGAGCTTCAGAACAGGAAAATGCTTCTGATGACAAAGAAGTCTAAAAGAATGATTTGCATAAAATTGAAACACTTGAAAAACTAGAAAATAAGGTTAAATGCAAAAGGAGACTCAGCCCTGGAGTGGCTGCTTTTGAAGTAAGTTTTACAGTATTTTTAGGAACAAATGTCTCATACGTTAGTGTTGAGGGCCCTTGAATTCTAGGGCAAAGATGCTTGGAGCTTTGAATTATTTGAGGGGGGAGAATGTTGTCTCCGTGGTCCTCTTGGAATTGATCGCTATTTAGTGACCAGGTGTCTGTGAATATCTTTTGGGTTTCTCATACCCATGTGTCCTATTCCTTTGTATATATTCCCTCCCCCCAAGGATTGCCATCGGCTGATGGAACTTGACATTTCAACCAAGAAATAAGTTGACTCACGCTTTACTAAAACCATACTGTGAAATCCCAATATAAACCCATGTATGTGTGATATTCCTCATCAAGAAAGGGAAAATTACTTCATCCAGATCTGTTTTGCTCGTAGATACCTGCAAGCCAATAGACTGGGAGATAAAACTGCACATAAGCTCAGGATGTGCATCATCAAAATTTTGTGTAGCCCTGACTCGATAGAAATGAATATTAAAGTAATTCAACACAGTGCTAAAAGCTTGTGCCTAATTGCCTTTTCTTGATATTTAGCTTAACTTTAAGGGAAATTTATAACTAAATTGGGCTCAATGAATTCCCTGGTTGCCTACTTTTATTACACATGATAACACAGTTGGGTTTAATTTACCTCTTAGCACAATGATACTTCGATGAGACGACTGTATCTGGAAGGTGGTGAAGTGAACTTGACTGCCTTTGGAGGGTGAATGCTAGGGCTTCTCAAAAATAAAAAAA